GAAAGACATTAAAAATGTAGCAACTGTCATGCTACTCTGCCAACCTGAATTAGCAAGTGCTATAGCTTTGAGGGTGACAAATTCTTCTTTCTCCAGCTTCATGCTCTTGTATTTCTTTACCAGCTGCAGTATGGCATTGTTAAGGTCAAGAAGGCCTGCCAGTTTGGACTGGTCTTCATCCATAATATAATCTTCAGCATATACGAGCTCATCCTCAAAAGAAAGTGACCGGTATACAACACCGAGAATCAAGATCTCCATCCAAGCACTCTGCAGAAGGCTCATCTGGTCAGCTAGAGATAAAGTGGAGAATCCTGAATAGGGAAAAAAAAAAACAACAGGAAAATATTAAGCACACTTGGAAATTTGATCCTCTTTTCGATTTCTTTTTATATACACTGTCATAAAACATGCACGCATTCTATTATTCTCCCTTCTGCTTTTGTGTGTCTCCTCCTCATCCTACTACAGGAAAGTAAATCAATAAAAAAACAACCATTTTACAATCAAAAGAAAAGTTTTAAACAATAAGGAATTTGCATTCTCTTCCTGTAAAAATCATATTAATTTGTGGGGTACTGCAGTTGCAATCCGTGATTTGTATGATATCTTCTTTGTTCTGAAATACTTGTGCTTAGTTATAAAAACAATGTTGTGAAACAGGGATCTGCTTACTCTATCCACCACAACCATAATTCAAGAAGGATAATTTAGAAGAAAAAAACAGAAAACTTTATTAAAAGGGAAGATTTGATATTTTAATAGAATTAAGGTAAGGATGAAAAAGAGAAAAATTCTTTGTGAACTTTAACTTCGGGGAAAAGAGAAGCAACACCCACCCTTCTCATAAAAGACACTAATCACTTCTGTCTTGGCTCCACTACACTTGTTGAAATAACAGGGTGGCACACTGAAGTACCAGCTGAATAGCAGTCACACCATCCTTTTTGTGAGGGCAACCAAAAATTTATTAAATGCTTCTTAATGAATTTAACTTTTGGGGTTTTTCCCTCCCCCCATGCTGTCTTTCCTAACAGGATCACTAAGGGCAAACATCTTTGCTGCCTTACCTTTTAGACTCTTGTTCACAGTACCTGTTAATTTATTATATCAAACTGCTAATATCCCAATCACATTAGGTGCTAGAAAACAATATGGGAGAGGAAGCGATTTTCCTGGCGTGTTGGTGAAATGCAGCCGTTTGCCAGTTGGCACCATCAACCACAAGTACTTAATAAAATCATCAAAGGGGATTAGTCAAGCTTTTCTTAAAGGGTCTTAAGACATGTCTGAGGCTTTCATTTAGTTGTTTATGGAGTTGCTTACATGTCCTTTGACAGGGTTCCCGCTGTAAGAACATTCTTTTTGGCGTTCAATTACACTTAAATGCATTTTTCTGTTTTTAAAGTCGAGAGTTACAGTCATGCAAGAATGTATCATAAGCTAGCAAATCTTCAAGGCATCTACTCCAAACAAGATTTTCTCTATAAGCACTAAGCAGCAAAACTAATACAATAAAAAAGGAAAGCCCACATCCAAACCACCAGGCATCCATAAAAAATGGAACATAAAACTGGATGCATGCACTCTCTCTCTCATTTTTCTCTCCCTCCTTATTTGTTTTCATTTTCTCTTACTGTCTTTCGAGTCTTGTGATAGAACTGTAGCTCTCTGCCTTAAAAAAAACCAAAACAAAACAACAAAACCTGATCCAACAACAACAGGAAAGCCTTCAAGATGTGACAATGGAAAATAACACATCTGTGATTAAAATAAATAAGAGGGAAGTGGAGAAGAAATAATAATTTCAAAGGTTATAAGGAGGAATTCGTGATTTCAATTAGCTCCAACATTTCTGTTCCTTGCCGGCTTTCAAGAACCAGTTTTTCTGCAGCAGCAGATGGACAGAGAATGTAGCCTGCAGCACCGTCCTGTGACAGCCCCATTCTCCCTCCCAGACACTGCTGTTAGTAAATAGATTTACACATTCTCCAATCTCCACACATCTTTCTGCCGAATAATTAAAAGCAGGATGATTAGTTTATTGAGTGGAAGGAGGAACTTTTTTATTGAGGTCCATCCACGATTTTATCAGGGCCAGCACTTTTACGGTTGTCATGAGGGTGCAGGCATCCAATTTTTCTTATCTGCCTGATTAATACAAACGCTGTTTCAGGACGCATTAATTAACAGATACAAATCTACGTTCTCATGGAAGGATCAATACAGAGAAGAAAAGAGGCATCAATGTGAATTTAGTGCTGATGATGGAGAAGGCACTCTATTGACATTTACGTGCATAGAAACTTTAAAGTTGCAGTGGAGCCCTTTTGTCCCTGTGATTTACAAATTAACAATTTTTCAGGTATAACAATGTTTCACATACTTCAGAGAGGTTTAATTAAGAAAAAGGCAATAAAATCTGTTTTGATTAAAAAAACTTTAACCTGCAATTTCTCTCTATTATCTTTTTTCCTGAAAATTCCCCAACTTCCTTCTTTTATTCACTTACCTATTCTCACACATGTTTGTTGGCATTGGTTTTCTTTTTTAAAAAATAAATAATACTATGTTTCAATAACATTTATTGTGTGCCACAGTCAAAGAAAATTACATATGCCCTGTGAGGGGGGAAAATGGGATGTTGATATAATTTATTGTACTGCACTCTTGAAAAATCTGCATTCTGGAGCAGTAAATATACCAGTTGTTTTTATATGACACGTAAAAAAATCAAAAGAAATTTTTTATATTATAGAAAAACTGGCAAATATAAAGCATGCTGTTCCACTCTTCAATAATAAATCAAATCAACATGACTATTTTGTTCCTGATCGAAGTAACTTTCCCTTGAAAGCCTGTTCAGTGAAAGCATGTTTTAACTTTTAAAGGCATCCCTCGTGGGAATGCAAAGCTGAATCAAGTTGTAATTAATCTGGTTTTGTTTTGTTTTGATTTTTCAGAAAATGTGAAAGCATCCAGCATGTCTCTTGTATCACAGCAATGCCTTTTAATAACTGTTCAACAAATCACAGTTAAAATAACAGATTACACAGGCTCATATATTTATATAAAGAGATTTATTTTTAATTGTTTGGAGAAGGTTATACGTATTTCATACCAAACTGTGAGTCTGTGAGCTTTTGTTATGTGAATCCCCCAGATCAATCATGTTCTCTGACAAGGGGATAATTTTTGTATTAAATGGCAATTCTTTTTCTAAAGTCTCCAACTGGGATTCTTCCCACCTTCTGACCAGAGTCAGCCTCTCCAGCCCCATCTCCAAGCTCCGTCCAAACCACCCTGATGGTTTGGATGCACGATGGCATGGGTTGGAACTTTGTCATGCATTGTGTGGGTCCTTAATCCTTCAGAGCCTTGCAGGTCACTGCTTTCAACGCAGAGCTGTGTAATAACATTTTAAAATACAATGTTGTGCACCTTTCTCCCCCTTTAGCATGTACCATATTGGTGACAACTTTGATCTCTCTCTGTCTCCCTCCCCAAGTCAGTGCCATGTGATGTATCTCAGGCATTTGCTGGCAGGCTGACTCCGTACCTTGACCTGCAGTTAAACAGCGTGTTTATCTGCGATACAGCACACTCCAAATAAACCAGATGACAGCCTGCAATAACGTCATTTGGAAGGATTGAAAGGCTTCTCAAGAGTCAGGTACCCCTGAGGTAAGAAGCTTGAAGGAAGCATGTTTTGTGCCAACCCTTCTGCCATCTTCCACTAGACGCTCATGTGCTTGACAATGATGCCATGGGCACTTGTCAAGATTTTTTTTTTTCTTTTTGCCTAGCAAACTGATGCACTTTGCAGTCAACTTACAAAAAAGGCTAAGCATTTGAAAGTGTGAAGGGCAAAAAATATCTGACGGCTAGTCTTCAAAAATACACTTTCATTTCAGAAAGCATAAATGTTTATTTCCTGAGCTGAGTGTTGACAGAAATAGGCTGCAGCGCAGGCATATGAATTTAACCCCTGGTAGGCATTCTGTTCAGTGTGGTTTTTATGTGGCTGAGTGCGAGCACTGTAAATCTATGGGGTGTCTCCTAATATCAGTTAACAATAGCCTTGATTTGCTGGTTACAGATTTTCTTCCTTTTTTTCCCTTTCTTTCCCCTCCTTTCAGAGACTGTAGTGTTTCTTCTGCTAAAAATAGATACTTTTCTACAAACAGTGTATCACACTCAAATCGTAATTATGCCGTAATGACTCACTCAGATCACTAAGTGTGCATTGAGAAAAAAAGGTTGATTGAGCAACTGAACATATGCTCGGGTTTGTTTTTTTTTTCCTTTTGCATACCAGTAAACCCAAAGCTCAAAGGAAGCAGACATAAATAGGAAAAAAGGCCTTACCATTTTTATTATAGGAACAAGGGGCATCGAGCTGACTGCACTCTGCAGTGCTCAGCACTCCAAGCCAGCTCCAAACACAGTTCACAGCCTGTTTAAACCACAGATCTTTTCAAACATCAGCACATGCACCACTTGCTCTCTATTTCACATTGCACACAGCTCCATGCTAAGCAGGGTAAATCTTTTATATTCCTGAAGACCCTTTCCTCTACTTCATTAAGATGGACTTCATGGACACTAACTCACTAGGGGCCACAGTGAAGCAGCTGCAGATGGTCAAGTGTGGAAGTAAGATCTGTGCCTTGCACACAGCACTTCCAGAATTACTAGCCAAAAAAAAAAAAAGAAGGCAGTGGCTGGACTTACCATTGTTTTAATCTGTAAACATTTGATGTGATGCCTCAATCAGGCTACTCAGACTTAAATCTAGAGTTTATTTCACTTTGCAAGGACTAAATTTCCCTTCCCCTCTGGTATTTGTTTAGAAATCTGAACATTTGATCAAACCAGGTATGAAAATTGCTGGCAAATCTGGAGTTGCTTGCCTTTTCTGATAATTGCCTCCCACTTATTTTACTGGTTGTTTGTGTGATCGTTATCTTTATGAGTAAAATATTCCTCTTGCTTGCCCTGGTTTGTACTTCAAATATCTTAATTTACATTTTTTATAATCAAAGCTGCACTTACTCATGACATGTTCACTAGTGTGTTGCAGATGCAATACATTTACACAGTTGAAATATCAAGAGTTAGATTTTTAAATTATTTACACTTAATTTTGATAGATTAACTTCTTTCTAAATGTTTTATGGGTACTGATATTTCCAGCACAGGTTTTTGGGTTTTTTTTTCACTTCAAAAATAATGTATAGTCACCACTGTCAAAAGAACAAACTGATCTTGTAAATACTTAAAAAAATAAATATTTTAGCTTGGATTACTTTAT